AGACGAATTGATGCCTACAGTGCTGACAAAGAATATTGAAAATACCATGGACTGCCAGAAGAACAGATTTGTCTTGAAAGAAGTATATCTAGAATGCTCTTTAGACGTGAGGGAGGCAAGACGTTGTCTCAAGTACTTTGGACCTGTTATCAGAAGGGACCGGTCCCTGGAGAAGAACATCATGCTTGGTAAAGTGGAAGGTCAGTGAAAAAGAGGAAGACCCTTAACGAGATGGATTGACACAGTGGCTGCAACAATGGGCTGTAACATCAATGATTCTGAGGATGGCCCAGGACCCGGCAATGCTTGGTTCTGTTGTATGTAGGGTCACTATGAGTCGGAACTGACTCGACTGCACCTAACAACATGAAATACTGTTTTGTTTCAAGCCACTATTTGCTCTCACCTGAACCAGCCTCCTTGCTAGTCTTTCTGCTTCCACCCTTGCCAGCACTACTCCATTCTCAGAGCAGTTAGTCTTATCTTTTTTTAGAGCATTAGTATCACTTTCCTCTAATGATTCAAAAATCCTCCAATGATTTTCCCTTACGACTAGAATAGAATCCATATATTTTAGCAAGGCCCACTAGGCATACAAGGTCTCAACCCCCATATTTCTCCTAGCATCCCTTTCACTCTGCTGCAGCCACCTCTACATCTTTCTGTCCTTTGTCTGCATCAAGCTTGTTCCCTTCTGCATAGAAGCCTCTTCCCCCACATCCTCACAGTTTTCTGTCACTTTAGGACTGCTCACACGTCACTTAAGGATACCCCACCCACCAACCCACTGCTGTGGAGTCAATTCTGGCTCATAGCAACCCCATAGGGTTTCTGAGGCTGTAAATCTCTACAGAAGCAGACTGCCACATCTTTCTCCCAAAGACACGCTGGTGGTTGTGGACTGCCACCTTTCAGTTAGCAGTAGATCGCTTTAACCACTGTGTTAAACTGCCCTCCCTCCCCAGTTCACTACCTTTAAGTTTACTTTCTTCCCAGTACCTCACTATCTGAAATTCTTGATCATTTGTGTGTTGTCTACCTTGAGTCCCTTCTAGAATTTAAGAAGCTGAGTTAGGTTAGGGGCTTTGTCTTGTACACCACCATTTGCCCCGCATCAGGAACACTGTCTGGCCACCTGGAAGGTGTTTAATAAACACCTGTTTAAACGTACCCTAAACTAGTTATGTTTTTCCAGTTATCTGAAATTTCTTGTAATGCTGTCTTCTGATTTGGTCATCTAAGACCAGCATTACTTTCTGATCTATTAGAATGGTATTCAGAATTAAAGACATAAGACAGGCTACAAGAACAACAAAAATCTAAAAGAGGAATTCTAAATGTACAGCAAAAAGCCAATAGTAACTTCAATTTGGTATGAGAATATTTAATATTAAAATACCTTACCTACAAAATGACTCATTCCATGGATTTAATTAAGCCGTAAGACAAAATATACCGTCAATGCACCCGTCATCAAAATATATTTTTATCTGTGTCCCCAGAATCAAACATTATAAAGAGATTGTGTACTATTTTATCATAAAAGAGTGGGCTAAATAAATGATGCGCCAATCATTTGTTGGTACACTAAGCAGTTATCAAAAGGGATGAGGTAGAGCTATGTCCACTAGCATGGGAAGACATCCTGAAACACTCTCTTAAGTGTCAAGCATTGTCCCAGGAGCTTTATGTCATTGCTTCATTATTTTAAGTTAAAAAAAAAAAAAGTTACAAAGCAGCGCATATAGAGTGATTTCATTTTTGTAAAATCAACAAAATATTATGTTTATATGTATACAGAAGGTTCCAGAAAAATCAGCATCAAAAACAGTAATAAGTTAGTTTGGGGTATTCTCATATAAATGAATAGTTTTTCTGTATTTTCTAAAACTTCTACATCAAACACTACTGTCATAATAAAAAGCCAAAAAAAAAAAAAGGAGGGGGATTTAAAATAGCTACTGGAAAGAGGAAAGATCTATGGCTCAGAGGTTTTCCATATCATATTGCCAATTCCTTCCCTACCCTCACCTGTCAGGGGGAGAGAATGGGTCACATGAGAGAGCCCCTTTAGCCAGCAAATTAGCAAAGCTAAGATCAGGACATAAAAGGATGTACAAAAAGTTGATGATTAGTAATAAAACTGGATGACCTTAATATCTTATGTTACTGATACTACCATCACCTATATTAGATATACTGTTAAATAAAAGCAAGCAAGTAGAAAATACTTTTGAGTCTATATGAAACCTATACTAGGTTCTTAGGTACATCTCTTTGAAACTGCTTGAAGAACAAAGCAGAGCATCATTTATGTATGATTTTGTCTAAGTAACCAAAATAATTCAATTCTTCATTGTAGCAAACCTGAACTATTTTACATCTAAGTAGGTATTTCTCAGTTTCCAGGAAAACTGATTTGAAATTGTCTGAAATAAAGTGATTAAAAGCAAACTTTTAATGTGACTGTACTTTATATTTGGTGTTCTGACTTTGTTTCTATGGAAACTGAAGAAAAATAGGAATTTGCAATTGAAATTTTGTTTCTCTTATCACTTTCTGAATGCCAAAAAAATAAATTTTAAGATAAACTGAAATGAAAATTTAACTATCATATTAATAACACTTAAAAAGTAAATGCTGTAGTCACTACCTCTTTTCTCAACTTTTCTATCTTAATGCTCCTCATCAGAGTCCTATGCCTAATGCTTGGGACCTTACCTGCCCTCCCGCCAGCCTCTCCTAATGTCTGTCTGCCCAGGGCATCCTGGGCTTCAATTCACAGTCACGGGAACAAACTTTAAAATTTATCAACCCATTTACCTGACAGTTACTGATGTGTAAACGTAGGTGATTTCTGTCACCTCTACCTACTCTTACTCTTATCCATTGTAATGCATGTACAGACACAGGATGGAGAGATAAATGTAGCTTCTGAGTTTTGTAAAACAGACTTTGAATACAACTATTCAAGAGCACCTACTCTTCAAATGAAAGAATTAAGTTCTAAGAGACAGTGTACCTTATGGATAAAACATAAAATGCAGGTTGTATTCTGAATTTTTAAGCCTGCCAGAGTGGCATATCTACCATTTCCATGTTAGTGGGAGCTAAGAGTTACATTGTTGGCCCTTGAATTCAGTAGCTGTGACAGAGCCATTTCAGAGCTCTAAGTCTCGGTTTCTTCATCAGCAGTACAGGGAGAATACACATGAGCCTTACTTTAGCAGAAGGGCCAAATGAGATGTACGTGAAAATGAGCCGTAAATCCTAAAGAATTAAATACAAGTCCTATTTTAGTCTCTTATCCAACACTACTCATCTACAAACTGGTTTGTAAAAATCACTCAGAGGCTTACCTCACAGCACTGAGCAGGTAAGTTTTCACTAGTACTTACAGGCTTTGTGTTTAAAGGTGCAATTAATTCACATAATCTAAGTTGTTCATTCTTTCACAATTTTTTGAATATTCTGAAAAGGGAGTACTTCCCAGTTACAAAGCCACAACCATAGGCTTAATTATTCTAACTTATAAAGAAACTAAGAACCCAATTAAATTTTAAACAGAAGAGCTGTAAGGCATTTCCTCTACAGTAATGGAATAATCCCTGGCATTTAAATGAAACAAATGGACCAAAGGGATTCAACATCTTTATGAAACAATGTTTTCTACTTCAAAGCCACCTTCAAAGGACAATCTTCACTGAAGAGACATCATTGCTGCCCAGAATTATTTTTACCTAGATTCACCCCTTTCCAAAATTCTAGAGGCAAAAATCAACTACTTCCTCTCTCCCTCCTCCCCCCCTCCCCTAGACCAGCGGTTTAGTCTAAAGAACTTTTACCTCAGCATTCCTCCGGTAGAACAGGATTCTAAAGGGGGTGGGGAAGGGATAAAGGGTAAAGAGAGGAGGGAAGGAGCAAGGGGGGAGGGGGACACATGGAGACAGACACACTCTCGAGTCTTGGCATCTTAAGTCCCAAGCCCTTACATTACAAATTAAAGTCTAAATGTATGTTTTGTCTCTTGAAACTTTTGACCAACAATTTCATGAACCACGCCCGCCTGCCGCCGGCCAAGCCCCCTCCCCCCCCGCCCCCTTTTTAGAACAGGCAACGTACGTGAAGTCTGCTAAGTCACCGGAGTAGAACTGGAGACATATTTGTGTCAAATTAATCACAACTCCATGAGTTCTCCTTTGGGTAGGAAACTACTCTCCGGAACCCTGGTGGTAACATTCCAAAGCTTTCAGTTATTTTAGGCCCCTCCCAGCCCCCCAATTTTCTTTCCTCTCGTTTTCAGAGTGTTGTTGGAAGGAATAAAACAGCTTATACGGAGACGACTTAAAACATCAGTCTACTTAAGAACACAAGTACCGTAGATTCCATTTAAACTCTCCTATGCCAACCTCTATTTTGAATTTAAATAAGAAATCCTACAATGTTTGGGTCGGAATTGTCCGAGGATAAGCTACCCTAAAAGGCAGGCGGAAGGGTGTAAGTCAGGCTATCTTACCGGGCTCTTTCACTTAGGTACCATCTGGATACGTAAGGATAGAGAAAAGGGATGGATACTCCGAAGTTGTGGTATCTGGGTTTTTTCTAAGAAAACGGAGACATTATACCAAAAAGACTTGATAAAGTCCCAGGGGACATAAAATAGAGCCACAAACAAGAAGGGCCTCTGACTGGAGGGTCCCAGGCTGGGCCGGGGAAATGGGAAGAGGGACCAAGAACGCGGCAGGTCGTTCGGGTGTGGGGAGGAGGAAAAAGAAAAACTGACCGGACTCGGCGGCGAAAGAATACGGGGTGGGGACGCAGGGCAGAGCAAGCCTGCGTCCACGGTGCCCGACCCTGGGAAGGCCGGCTCCGGGCAGGAAGGAGCCCGAGGCGGCGGCTCCCTCCCGGGGGACCTTCGGGGCGGCAGCGTCCAAAGGCGCGTCCGAAAGTGGACGGCGCCAGTACCCACGAGGAGCTCGGGGAGCCCGCCGCCTCCTTACCTTCGGGCATCTCCCGGTCACTGATGTGCTGCAGGTGGTGGCCCTCGCCCGCTCCGAGATCCAACTCGGCGGGCTCCACGGCAGCCGGGGCCGGCGCAGCCGCTACCGCCACCGCGTCCCCGGCCGCCGCCTCATAGACCTCCGACTCGTAGTCCGGCTCTGCCGGCCCCGTGCGCCGGCCCAGCTTGGGGCTGGCATTGGGGGACACGCAACAGGTCAGCGTGTTCCCCATAGGGCGCCTCCGCTCCTCGCCGCCGCCGCCTTCACGGCCGCCTCCACCGACGCTCGCCCCCCGACTCCACCGGCCTCAGCAGTCACCCCCTCCCCCAACAATGGCGCGGCCGGCACGGGCAGCCCCGGGCTACGCCGGGGCTGCGCCGCGCATGCAGGAGTGGCCTCGCCGCCGCTCGCCCGCCCTGCCACCCAGCCCCGGCAGGGCTCCGGCCCCGGCCGTACCCCTGCCGCCACGCCGCTGCAGCCTCCCCCGAGCGGACTAGTCTGCGAGGGCGGCGACCAGCCCAGCTTATTTAAAAGGGGTGGGGACCCGACCAGCGCTGAGAGGCGCAGCCACTGCCGGGAGAGAGCGCGGTCGGAGCTCCTCCTTCTTCCGCCGCCGCCTCCTCACTGAACGCCGGTCGCCCTGTGCCAACCGGAACGCGTCCTGCGGTCATCTGGTTATGAGGAACCAATCACACCCAGAGTTCCCGCCTCATGCCCGCCTAGGTACCCTGGCACGTGACTCACAATGCCCCGCCCCCACCCGCGACTGCTCCACCCCCCGCGCGGCATGTCTGGTACTCTGGTTTCCATTCATCACTGGCTACTCTGAGCTTTCCGGTTCTGCGAGCAGCCGCGAGGACGCTTGATAATCGAGGCAGCCCTTGATCACTGGGCTCTATAGAACGTCCCTTTGAGGAATGAGCCGGCTCCGTTAGCAAGTCGGTTTCTCCGGGTGCGACAGCTGACTTTCATTTGATGCATTGCTCACTGAACTTATACTCCAGTTGGTGACCATTTTTGTAACTAAATGCGCCTCCTCTCCTACCTTCCACAGAGTGTTGGTCTTCGCCCGCAAGTTGACCACAGCAAGCCCCGGGGCCCTCCCTGGTCCTACTCTCATAAAGAGCTGTGGCTGTGTGTCTTGACTGAGATGGAGGACATGTCACTCCTCCACTGCCTCATCGGTAAAGTAGGGACGGAACTCGTCCATCCCAGCTCTAAATGCTCGCATTCATAATCCGTTTTTCTCGCCTCTTTTTTCTCCATCCGCAGCAAGAGTTTCCAGATTTTCCTCCTTTTGCCCACACAACGCATAAAGTACTATTTTATCATACAAAGCTGAGAACCACAAAGTGGTTTGATAAAGATGATAACTAATAGTTAACATTTGTCAAGAACTTAGTATATGCCACATGTTCCAAGTGCTGTACTCATTTAACTCTAAAAAACAATCTCCGTTTTACATTTCACAGATTTTACCAACCAAACCCATTGCCGTCCAGTCATTCCGACTCATAGCGATCCCATAGGGTTTCCAAGGCTGTAAATCTCTAGGAAGCAGACTGCCACATCTTCTCCCGCGAGGAGCTACTGGCAGTTTCCAACCGCTGACCTTTTCGTTAGCAGTCCAGGGCAGTCCCCGTTTTACAGAAGAAATTTGAGATGCAGAAGTGACTTCCACAGTCACATGACTGTTCAATGGTTGGGGCAGAATGTGATTCCAAGTAGCCTAGATCCCCACAAGTACCTTACCTTGATTGTCAGAAAATACAAGTAGAAAAAGTTGGGGGAAAGCGACATTGTATATCAGGTTTTGTTTGTTTGTTTTTAAAGAAAAAACATTTATGTGAATTTTAAACTGCCTTTCCTTCACTCAACAAATGGTTAAGTGCTCTACTAGAAGCAGAGAGGTTGGCGTTTGAACCCACCCAGAGGCGGTTCCAATCCACCCACAGGGGTCTTGGAAGACCGGCATGGTGAACTGCTTCCGAAAGGTCACAGCCTTGAAAACCCTGTGGAGCAGTTCTACTCTGTACACCAGAAGCTTGAATTCAATCAACTATACAATGGCAACTAGCAACATGAGCATGTGCCAGGCACTGCGTGTATGAAATAATCCTACCCTCAGTGAGTTCACAGGAATGAGAAAACAAAGGCTTAGCATGTCCTAGGTCACACTGCTGGGGAGTGGTTGAACCTGGGATTCAAACCAAGATCTATCTGACCCAAAAGTAGATGCTAGGGTAAAGAGTTTGACTTCTATCCTGGAAACATGAGAATCCTTGAAAGATGTGACGTTGAGTACCTATCATATATGTTTATTATAGTGAGGTCATTCTGGACAATAAGGAGAGATTGAAGGAAGCAAGAAGACCAACTAAGAAACTTTACATTCACCTAGGAGAGAAGCACAGTTCATACTAAAGACAGTGCTAGTGACCAAAGAGGAGGAAACATTTGAGGTCATTTGGAAGGTAGTCTAGGAAGTGCTTGGTGGCTGAACGTGAGGGAGAGACGAAAGAAAGCAGGCAAAAATGGCTGCTAGGGTTCTGGCTTGGGGGACTGGATATGTAGTCGCGCCCTTCTCCTAGACAGGAAGAAGAACAGGGCTGGGGAAGAAGATAACTTTTGGCTCTGTTAAGTGTAACATCAATGGAGCTCTCTGGCTGAAAGTTGCATATAAATCTACTTCCAAAAACAATCAGCCACTGAAAACCCTATGGAGCATAGTTCTACTCTGACACGCATGGGGTTGCCATGAGTTGGAATCAGCAACTTTTTTTTTTTTTGCTTTTAAGTGGCATTTAAGAAAAGCCCAAAAAGGTGACTGGAAGAGGTTAGGAAAACAATGCGCAGTGGAAGTCAAGGGACGTGAGTATTTATCAGCAATGGTTGATCAGGTGAGTCTGATGAGGGTGGGGATTACATCTGCCTCTCACTTCTGTAACTGCAGCACCTAGCATAGTGCCCGGCCATAATTCCCTAATGAGCAGAGGCAAATGCTGTCTGGAGAACAGGGAAGCGTCAAATGCCATTGGCTATGGCAACTCGGTGACTGAGGATGTGTGTGAGCCAGATGGCAGGGAGGGGGTCAAGAAGTGAATACTGGGTGAGAATGTGAAGACATGACCTCAGGGCTTCTCTTCCCAAACATTTGGCTGAGGAGAGACATGTGGTAGTCGTAAGAGGGAGATGTATGGTTAAAGAAGCTTTTTATTTTTTAAGATAGAAAAAAATGTTGAAGGGTATTCTAGTGCTGCTGTAACAGAAATACCGCAAGTGGGTGGCTTTAAAGAAGAAAAGTCTATTTTCTCACAGTTCTGGAGGCTAACAGTCAAATCAGGTCATGACCGTCTCAATTCCTTCCTTGTCAGTAGCCCAGGCCTTCCTTGGTTCTTGGCTACCCTCACGGGGCGTCTGTCTCCCCTAATTTATGCTTGCTTCTTGTCTAATCTGCTCTTTTTATCACCCAGAAGTGATTAGGTTTAGGATATACCCTACACTGATATGGTTCCATTAACGTAACGCTATTCCCAAAAGCGATTGGCATCCACAGGTACAGAGGTTAGGATTCCAACATGTGTTTTAGAAGGGCACAATTCAATCCATAACAAAGGATAAGAGCCAATGGAGAAAAATAAAACTTTGAAGTTAGAGGGGGAGGGAGAATTAACAAAGCAAGTTCCCCAAGAAGGCAGAAATGGATGCTATCCAGAACAGGGGTAGATTGGTGTTGGACTGATAGAAAAGGAAGGAGGGAGAAGGATCTGTGTGCCGCAGAGATGTTTCTGGTTGAGAAGAGTCTTAGGAAGAGCTCACCTGATGACCTCTAGTTTTTCTCTATGTCAGTGGGCTTCTATTTGGAAAGCTACTCTGGGAAAGGGGATAATATGTAGGAAAGTCCTCAAAAGCTCGATTTATCTAAGAATATCAAATACATCTTTCCTCTAGTCAGGGAGGGGGGATGGGGGATTGAAAAGAAATTTAAGTCAAAGACAAGCAACTCAAGTTAAAATAAGTATGCCACCAAAGTGCAAAAACAACCAACCAACAAACCCATTGCCATCGAGTTGATTCAGACTCATACTGACTCTATAGGACAGAGTAGGACTGCCCCATAGGGTTTCCAAAGGAACTGCTGACCTTTAGGTTAGCAGCCAAGCGCTTTTACCACTGCGCCACCTGGGCTCCCTAGGCGCTATAGGAAATCTAAAATCTTTCTCAGCACACTGCTAGTTACTTACTCAGATCACCTCAAAGTAGGGGTAGAAGAGTCTTTCTCTTCTGTTTAGGCTCCTGGTTGTCTAAAGCAGATGCCAACTATACTCCCAGCTTCAATGACTATAACAGCATGTGATCTGCACTTAACTAGTTTCATAAAAGAGCTACCTTCTACACTTGCCCAGGAAATAAACTCACTACCAAATCCATTTTGGAACAAAACCAAAACCAAACCCAGTGCCGTCCAGTCGATTTTAACTCATAGCACTCCTATAAGACAGAATAGAACTTCCCCATAGGGTTTCCAAGGCTATAATCTTTACAGAAGCAGACTGCTGTATCTTTCTCACGCGAAGTGGCTTGCGGGTTTGAACCACTGAACTTTTGGTTAGCAGCTGAGTGCTTAACCACTGTACCACCAAGGATCCTTCTTTTGAAACAAGGCAGATGTTATGGATTGAATTGTGTCCCCCAAAAATGTGTGTCAACTTGGCAAGGCCATGATTTCCAGTATTGTGTGGTCGTCCACCATTTTGTGATCTGATGTAATTATGTGCTGTAAATCCTAACTTCTATGATGTTAATGAGGCAGGATCAGAGGCAGTTATGTTAATGAGGCAGGATTCAATCTATAGGATTAGGTTGTATCTTGAGTCAATCTCTTTTGAGATATAAAAGAGAGAATGGAGCAGAGAGGCAGGGGACCTCCTACCACCAAGAAAGCAGAGCCAGGAGTGGAGCATGTCCTTTGGACTCAGGATCACTGCCCTGAGAAGCTCCTAGACCAGGGGAAGATTGATGACAAGGACCTTCTCCCAGAACTGATGGAGAGAGAAAGCCTTTCCTGGGAGCTGGCACCCTAAATTTGTACTTCTAGCCTCCTAGACTGTGAGAGAATAAACCCCTGTTTGTTAAAGCCATCCATTTGTGGTATTTCTCTTATATCAGCACTAAATAACTGAGACAGCAGAGTATAAATAAATGCATTAAATGCTTTCAATTGTTTGTCCCCATTCACATTAAT